TGCCTGAGCGACTTGCGTTTGGCAAAGGTGCCTGGTTTTGCATTTTTCCGTTTTGCAGAGACTGGGATTGCCAATTGCCTTCCCCTCTTTTCGAGGGAGCGACCGTAAGCACACGTTGAACACGTGGCTGGTTCCGCAAGCAGGTCCCTTCGCTGCAAAACTGTTACGCGAGACTTGGCCTGAGAAGGATCCTGCAAACGATTCGCTATGATCGAGCCAACCAAATCAGTGGAGGAATCCAGTCCTCTCTTTGTCTTACACTCCTGAAAACTAACATGGACCCAGGTCAAATGGCACCCTGAAAGACTATCTTCCTTTCCACACCAGTAGTTTTCAGGGTCCATGTTAGGTTTTTCAGCGGGGTAACATGTCTTAACTGACAGGTTCATAGCAAAATCTGCAGCTTTCGGCCTGCCTGCAGCGTGGCTTAGGGCCGGGCCTTGCCTGCAGCCTGGCCCCAGAAAGCAGCACATGTTTGAAAGCCGGATGCCTCTGGAGTTGTTTTTGCTTTTGCGTGACAAGACTCACGTTTGCTGTGGTAAAGGGTGGCCCTCGACTTTGGTAGAAAGCGCATTCAGAGGCCTAGCTTTCATTTCCAGATTTCTACACGCTGACCTCCGATTCTACATGTGCAAAGCCATGCACTTGGGTCACCTTCTGGTGGTGCAATATGATGCTTGCACTGTTTCGATCGCTTCTCGTGCCACTTCTGGCTTCTGCAAGCCATTGATAGGCCAGGTAAAGAAATTCCGGCCTACAGAGGTGAGGTGCTTTTCTTGTCTAGGGAGGTTAAGAGCTGAAGGGCGGACAGAAAGGAGATTCCAAGGTGCTTGGCTGGTACAACACATGTTTCAGACACTGGACTATCTGGACTCACTTTCGCTGCTCAAGTTGACCGACCCGAGACGTGCGGCGACGCGTCGGAGTCGAGACGACTAGGTGAACGACTAGGTGAACGGAACGAAAGGAGCGGAAGAAACCCTTGGAGAGGTTTTTGGTTTCATTCCTTTGTTGCCCATCCCATATGTACCACTCTAAGGTCCTAGTTCAGGTCTCTCAACCTGTCTTGGAATGATGAAACTGAAGGACCGCGAGTCTTAGGTGTTCATCGAGTCGAAGGTGCTGGAACACTTTCCCAAGCTGGATGTTGGAATGCCACCGTCGATTCAACCAGCGCCTTGTAAGCGGAGATGGCTTGGGTCATAAGGAGGCCTGAAATCTGATAGGCCAGAAGGACATTCGTGATATCTTTATCATCTTTATCCCTATAGCCCACCTTCGGAGGGGTCAATAAAACCCGTGATTCAGCCCCAACTCATCTAAATCCATCCACATCCCCCCGAAGCAGCGATTTCTGTCCGCCCAGCCAGTTTCGGCAGCGGTTCGGTGCCTGGCAGTGACGGGTCGACTGGGCGGGTCGGCGCCGTGGCGACGTCGTCGGCGCGGCGTGTCGGACTTGGCATTGGACGCTGTGGAGTGCCAGCGCCATTTAGTTCCATTCTGTTTGAACTTCCTTATGAAGTCCGTGCAGTCTGTAGTTCTTGCTCTCAATCCCGAGAATGTCTCAAGAACTTCCAACGTCAAGTGTAACTTAGCCAATGAGAAACGTCGAAGTTAAACTTGTACACCTCAGTGCGTCTAAGTTTTACTCATGTTAGTTGTCTTAAACAGAACAGATTCCGCAGAACGACGAAGTTTAACCTGGTTAAACATAGACAGAAACAACGTCGAAGTTAAACTTAGCCTTTGAAGGTTAGGGTCAAGTACACCGTCTGCCATATCCTCTTGTCAGATCTGAGGCCAGGGGTGAAACCGTCTGCAGTTCATGTCCGAAGAGCTTTCCCTCCAGTGTGCTACCGGGCGGTACAACCGCTTCACCTTCACCATGTCCTCGGTCGCTGGAACCGCAGCTCCAACGTTTTCGCCCTTCGGAGATGTTGAACGGTCTGCCGAAACTCAGGTCGAAGTGCCACTGGGTCCTTTCGGGGGGTCGACTCGGGTCTGGCCAACAGCGAATTGCTTTCGATTTGGGATTCAACTGGAAGAAGACTTTGTGAGCCAGTGAATGTTTGCGAACCTGAGCTGTGGCGGAGAAGGCAGCTTTTCCATCAGCATGAGTGATGCTTGGCGCATCAATGTAGCGTCCCTATGATGCTCTGAGTTGCAGGCATTTACCGGGCAAGTTCTGCCATTACAGCCTTTGCAGGTGTCTGCACTTCGTTTGGCGCTTCAGGCGCGTGCCCCGTGCCGCCACATAAGGGCACCTCGGGATGTGTGGCAGGGGCTTCAGAAACCGCATGGTAAGGCTCACTGAAAAGTAGCTTTGGACCGGGTACCCCCTAAAAACAGCCTAACTGGGATTTGAGCACAGAGTGATGGGTTTTGCGCTTTGGACATCCATCCCGTCCTTCGGGAGAATGACCATGGTGCTGACTTCGGGATTGAAACTCTGAGAGCAAGACGATCAGCAAAGCTTCCGAAGCGGGTGGAGTCAGTTTCCCACCCGGTTTCGGTTGCGACGACTCGATATCACCTGGCAGTTGGTCAGCAGTTACAAGGGAGAATAGGCAGCCCTGAAGAATTTGAGATCACGCTCTTGGGTGGTTTTTCGAGGATGGTTTAGTAAAGAGCGACGTCTAAGAATCCAGAAGTGGACTGGCGTCCAGGTGTCCACTCCAACCGATAGACCTTCCAGCCTGCTGATGTGTCCTTTCCAGCTCAACTTTCAGTGCGTCTGTGACTCAGCTTTGCATGATGTATGTGCTAGGCTCAAGCCTCACATGCCTCGGGTCGATGCTGAATTTTGCAGCTTCACATCTGCTTTGGCAATATCACACGGCTTGTGCTTTTAGATCTTTTAAGGGTACTCTTAAAGTTTAATAGCTCATTCTCACAACATGTCATTAGAGCCCACAACCTCACCTCACCGTCCTGGAAAGCCCCCCAGCTTCTTTTGCCACAGTACTTGGGCCCCTTGACATCAGCCCAGCCACATCACAGTTTTTCTCTTTGTATGCAATTGCCTTGAGAATGAAGGGTTTTGGGAAGAAATGCAAAGGTTTAGATTTGAAGTTCTCCGTTGCAGGCTTCGCTGAGACCACTTTGATGGCCGGTCTGTCGGTGTGCTAGGAAGTCAGAATGGAGTGTAGAGTTCGGGGCCGAGCTTTTCTTGAGGGGAGCATTTGGCTTCATCTCAAGCCAGATGAAGCTTGGAGACTGTAAAGTCGACTTGATTTGCAAGACTTGGTTGTCGCGTGCACACCTGAGAATTCAGGACAATGCCAGATCCGCCGGGTGTCACTCACACCAAATTGGGGTCGACAGGCGTGTTGTATCCCCCTTTTCGATTCTAATGCACTTCCAAATGTGAGACCCCTGCACAATCTTTCTGGGTGGGATGACCTACCTTAAGCACAGTCATACCCCTGCACTTCGTTCCGCAATTCCTCACCAGACTCATCAGAGAATGAGCCCTTCCCCAGTTTTCGGTGCCTTCCACTCACCTGTGAGCTTTTCAGACCCCGGTATCCATTGCAGCGAGAAAAAACGGGCGTTTAAGCCATCCATTCGCCACAGAGCATTCGATGCTTCGGCAGGGCCAAGGAGGTCACTTGAAGAACACCCTCCTCGGGTTTTCCACCGTCCGGACGTTCGGGCGCCTGGAATGCACGCTGTGAAGGATAGGGTACACTTTCAACCCAGTGTTACAAGGACATATGCAAATACACCCAACTGTGCGATTCTTAGCTCTTCCTTTCAGGCTACAGGGGAATGCAACATAGGACAGGGCCCAGGCGGCCCAGTGCTTGCAGCGATCCTGTGACCTTGTGCGGCGCCGCGCAGTCCAAGCTCGGATGCTGTGACACTCCATGCGTATGTCCATTTGGGGATCCTTTTTCACAACGGGCGAAGCATCTAGTCGTAGCAAAGGGAGGCGTGTTTTTGCAATACCCTCATCTTGAGACAGACTGCAAAGCTCACTCAGTGCGTTTGCGACCTGGTTCACCTTTGGTGTTTCGATCTTCGGCAAAGCATCCCGCGATCTTCGAAAGGTGACATCTGTTGTTTGAAAAGCGGAGGAACTGAGTTTAGGCTCCGGAGTCCAACATGGAAAACTCCAACGTTCGGGGGGTGAAAGAGACTCCCAACTCCATGTCCTGTGATCTCTTCTTTTTGCTTTGAAGGCCCCGTCGTTGGATTCGCCTTTTGCCCACGGAATTTGTTGCAAGCTGAAGTTGAGACATGGATGCCGAAAGAGGCGCAGCTGTGCGGGGTTCGGTTCATGGTTCATGGGTGCCATGGTTCATGGGAGCCACAAATGGAGCAATCGAGCCCCGTCCAGCAGTCCCTAGCGCCCCTTTTTTGATGTGTTCTTCCTTTGAGCGATCCACGGTGGCATGGCATGACCAACAGACAGTGTCTGGGACGTGATATTGAAAAAAACAGACCCTTACAGTAAAGGGGCGCAAGGTTTTTCTCACGAAAGAGGATTCAAGTCTCGTCTTGGAGTTCCCACACCAATCCGTGGGTCGGGACTCAGTGTTTGAGAGCTCCAGGCGAATGGGGAATGGATCCAGAAATGCCATGGGGAATGGGTCCCCGAATCTTTGCGAACTTCTTTTTGCTCCACACTGCGTTGGTACGACTGACATGGGGACAGTGCCACTGACTTGCAGGGCAGTGGCGTCAGGCTCCCAGAACCCAAATCCACATCAAGGCGACTGGAGCCACGGTCGTGCAGAGCATGTTGATAAATATCCCTCCCCACTTTGGATGCACTCACTTGCGGGCATGGTACGCATCCACACAAACCCTTGTCATGTATGAAGTGACCTTCAACAACTAGTTAACTACACCCGAAACAGGAGTATCACCCCCCCAAATTGGAGGGTAAAACCATGTAAAACCTCTTCAACAATGGGGGGGGCGGATGGTTTTATTCAAGTCTTCCAGGTCTCCCCTCCCGGTCGGCTCTTCGCCCTCCCGCCGTGCCGCCAAAGGTCGGGTGATCGGGCCCTTGGTGGGTGAAGTGCTGGGTGCCTGTGATGCGCGGCTGGAGGGCGAAGAGCCAGGTCTGGTGATCTATGTGGTGGAGGTGGGACCTTCCGGAAGCTAGCTAGCTAGCTGGGTGTGGGTGAATAGGCTCGAAGCGGAAGGCCAGCTCAAAACCTGGGTTTCGCCCTTGTGGGTGGTTACTGTAATCGTTCTAAATAGATTCTTTTTTGGTTCAAGGGGAAGTTGAGAGGGGGCTCAAGTTCATGGGATCTTGGAAGGGGCGTTGACCTGGGATATGAGGACAACCGGTGTTGGGTGGAGAATGTCGGAGAATCCAATTTGCTAATGAAAAGAGATTCATTGATGTTGAATGTTCTTTTGACCGAGAATTGGGACTTCTTGTGAAGAGTTTGGGGATGCTTGCAATTTAAAACTGCTCATGCATGCAGACTGAACATCTTCATTCACCCTGTTCCTTGAAAACACTTGAATCACTTGATCCATCTGACTTTGGATGCAACTGCCAACAAAGTTTCTGGATTTCTGATGGAGAATGATCTTCCTCTATGTGAGGGCAGTAGTTCTTCAGAGGCAACACATGCATGCCTTCAGGGCAAGTGGTTCTTCGCTGGGACACCAGACACCGCTCCAATGACTCAACGACCCATTCTTTCTGATCGCTGCTGATCCTTGAGAATGTGCCAACATGTTGTATGCCCCGTTGATGCTCTTCGCAAAGAAGCGTGACTGGCAGACAGACTCCCTGTTTGCGACTTCGTGCACGAAGTCGCATGTCGAAGTCGCAGTGGCACACGACACTGGGATAGGTGGGGACCCTAGAAATTCATCTCCATTTCGAGAGCCCTTTTCGCAGCTTGTGCCCCCAAGTTCCTCTTCCTTGAGCTGCGCCTACCAACGAATCGGTCTGGGCCACGGATGCGATTTGGGTCGAACAGCCCACGGGGTGACGTGACCGAAGGACCTTTCTCTCAGTCCCTCGACTCCCCTGACCGGGTCTCCGGTGCGCCCGGCCCGGACTCCCTTTCCAGTTGACCAAGAACACCTCTGCATGGAGCAAGAACGCATATTTCTGGATCATCTTGCCATCCAATCCTTTTATTGAAACAATCCGAATCCTTTGATTGGCCATCTCGTCCGCCCTCCGCGTTCCTTGACTCCGCCCTGGCCCTGGTGCTGCCTCCATCCGCCAGGCAGCCTCCTTGGTCTGCCTCCAGGCGGCGCTCGAGGCCACCGCGCCAGTCGCTCCGTGGCCAAGCTGGGGGGCTTCGTTGCAGCTGGAGCTGTGGGAGGTGGGGCGAACGGAGAGCCGAGAGCGGATGGATTGGGAACTTGGGGCCATTGTTTGTTCCTTTTTGTTTGGTTCCCTCAGTTCTCTCTCTATTTTTGTTCAAGCCTTGTCTAGATTCTAGATGTGTTTTTTTTTCCGTTTGGGGGGCCAAGTCTGAGGAGATTTGGTCCGTGTGCACCAAAAAGCGCTCGTGGATGTCAGAGACTGCCCGCCTTTAGCGTTTGGGCGCGAGGACCATCAGCGTTGTGTTAGCGTCTGGTTCACAGCGAGTTCCAAACCCAGCTGTTTGCTGTTTGATGGTTCGTCATCCACCATTGGAAGACCTTCGATCACCTCTCGAAAGGCTCCTTTGTGCTGACCCCCGCCAACCTCCCGCTCAAAAAGCATCCATATTTGGTACCCCGCCAACCTGACCAACATGGAACCCATATGAAACTTGACCCCAAATGGTTCCGACCATGTTCCGTGGGGGCCTTGGGGTTCCACGTACGTCGCTGGGTGTGGTGCCGTACTGAAGCGACCTGGACGGTCTGAACCGACCGTCTCCGCAGCTTCCAGGTGGAAGGGCAGCTCTCCCTGTCCCTCCGACCGCGAGAGGCACGACGATGTCGTCGCGAAGACGGAGGTCGGTCATGGCCATGGACATGGCGGCGGCGGTGAAGGGATGTGAATGGTGCTTTATGACGGGTAGTTGTTGGGAGAGTAGGATCTTTTTGAAGCTATTCGCCTGTATTCGGGCGGAATTTGCACGCGAAAGGTCCGTTGAGCAGGGCGACTATTCCTGACAGTGGGACGAGTGGTTTGAGTGCCTACTACATTGGTCTGAGGTTGGCTAAGACATGCTAAGACTAAGGGAGGGAACAGAAGCAACGGGACCGACATTCTATCTACTTGGTGACCAGTCCAAAAATATGTCTCAATATAGTAAATAGCCCTCTCAAGCGACATGGTCACAGGATTGGACCGACCGAGGGCCCCGACCATTCGGATGGTATAGCGAACTTGACGGCCCGTGGTCGGTACGTGGTGTCAGGGAGCGGGTGGGAGGCAGGAGCGATGCAGTTCTTTCTCAAACAATTCTTTTTTCCACTGGTTTTGCTTGGGGGGATTTTTCGTTTCTCTGTTGGTGATTCTTTTTTCCGCCGCTTTCCTTCAGCATCGCCACATGTCATGCAAGAAAGACCCACCCAAATTTTGTCCAAAAGAACGGCCGAAACCTTCGGACTCGCAGATTCGCCAGTTCCGCGCCCCGAGCTTGGCGACCGAAGGGTTTGACTCGCGTTTGGCTTTGGCCTTGTGGGTGACCAAAAATGGTCCCCCAAGCAGCGAACAGGTAAAGAACTGATTCGTGGTTAACCTGGGGGTGCTCATCCCAGGTTGAGATACCTCTTTTCGGATGGTCGTTGAAACAAGTGTATATTTGTATATATATATATTACATTCATGAGGGTGCTGAAGCGTTGGGGATAGAAGTGGAGGATGGTGGAGTATGCCATGCTAGGACCATATGCGTCAAGAAACTCAAAAGCTAGTATTGACAGAGGCTGTCAGAAAGATTGCTTTTATCTTTGAGCATGGGCAGCTTTTTACATATGATTAGTTTTGCATTGGCGTTGCGTAAGGCTTTGCCGTGGTCATCCGGGCTCTGTCTTTGCCAGGAGCTCGACTGGACATGCTCCACTGCGCGGGCGCAGATCCCGCCCTCCGCGCCGCTTCCATACCTGCCATTCCGCCAGCGCTGGCACATGGAGATGGCAAACGGATGAAAATGTGGTGCTGTGAAGAGGGAGAGTTTAGGACAGCAGCCGTTGTCATCCGCTTGGCTTTGAGATGCTTTGAGTTGGGCAAGTTTGGCAAGTTTGGGTTGGTCACTGGGTGTGCCACCGGAAGACCTCAGGTTGTTGTAAAAGGGCGATTCGCGGAAGACTGGCTTCCGCATCCAAAGTCCGTTTGAGCTCCGTTTCCTCCGTCATCAATGCATCGGCCATGTTAGACAGACACGTTTCGTCCGCCTGGCGCAGAAATGCGCCCTTCAGCTCCTTCTTGGTGCAGACAGATGCTACGAAACAGCTGGAAGAAAGAACGTGTGCCTGCCATGTTGCCTGCAAATTCTGGATGGTTTTCTTCTGGAGGGTTCTTGAGATGTTGATATTTGTGATATCAGTGGGGTTTCCAAGCGTATGTGCAAGTGGATTTGACCTGCATTCGCTCCCATCTGGATCAGATAAACTCTTCAGACACCAAACAAAAACACGAGATCAGAAGTGCCCCCAACGAGTGGGACCCTCATCCAACATCTCTCACCCCGTCTCCATCCCAACATCTCTCTCACGCTAGTAGGTTGGAGGCCATTGCTCTTAGGTTGGAAGCCATTGCTATTATTAGGACTGCATTTCTATTAGCTTGGAAGCCATTGCTCTTAGGTTGGAGGCCATCGCCACTCCTTTTCTTCTTCACTTGTGAGGCGACTTGTGAACGAAAGGCGCCCCACGCCATGGACCGCCACCCCAACCGGCGGCCAAGTGCCGCGCGATGAACGCCTCAGTGGATGGACCTGTGGAGAACTTGGGCCGCAGAGTGAAGACACATTCAACTCCTGGGGGAAAAGAAACTCCAGTGGTGTTTTTTTTTGGGATTCATTTCTGGGATCTAGAACCATGTTCTTTCCTTGGTGCTTTCATGACTCTTTTTGGGTTTCTGGTTTCTGGTTTCGAACCGGCGACCCTCCAAAACTGAGGGTGCCAGTGACGCCCGTCGTCCCATCCATACCCGTCCTGTGGGCGCCCTTCCTGGCGACGATCTGCTTGGCTGCGGCGATGGACGTGTGCTACGTCAGCCGGGGCAGCCGGGAGAACTGTCATTTGCCATCATATGCGAGGCAGATCGGGAGCCGGGCACTGTGCTTTTTTAAGATGTATGTATACATGTTTATGTATTACATACACATACACAAATACAGAAGGGGTGGCCATGGGGCCTGGGTTTTGGTTTTCCATAAATGTTCATAAATATTAGGTAAATGCATCAGTGCCACAATCAAAACCAAAAAACACTGATAAATATGCATAATAAAAACCAAAAAAGAACTAAAAAAGCCTTAAGAAAACAAAAAACAAAAAAAACAATTCTGGGAGACTTTTGGCTGGACCCCCCAAAATCAGAAAAAAACAAAAAACCAAAAAAACCTTGGGAAAACCAAAAAAACCAAAAAAACCAAAAAAACCAATTCTCAGAGACTCTTGGCTGGACCCCCTTGTCCTCAAGACTTCCTCAGAATTGTGTTTTTTTGTTTTTTTAGGTTTTTTTGGTTTTCCCAAGGTTTTTTTGGTTTTCTGATTCTTCTGATTTTGGGGGGTCCAAGCAAGAGTCTCTCAGAATGTTTTTTTTGGTTTTTTGTTTTCTCAAGGTTTTTTGGTTTAGCATCTGAGCTTACTTCTCACCTCAATGCATCTGTTCTTTTTGCTTACATCTGAAGCCGTCTGAGCTCAACACTTCCTTTGTCCTTGTCCAAATCTCCATATACAAGTCTGAGTGCATTAACTGCTGACTGGTATCAATGCGGTTGCCACTTGCATTTCCAAACAGCTTGACATGCAGTTGCGAGGACACTCTGTCCTTTACATGAAACGGTTGGAAATCTTTGCGAGCGTACTTCTGTGCTTGTAGCTCAAGCGTTTACATCTTATTCTGGCGAACTTCTCATTTTAATTTCAATTCCTTTCTAATTCAACTCTCATCCAATTTCAATTAGGCTATAGTTATAGTTCAATACAAGTTTAGTTAAAATTCGGTTTTGATTCAGTTCTATCTTAGCTCTAACTCAAATCCAATTTAATTCTACCTAATTCTATTCTAGCTCTAGCCTATTTAGTTTAAGAAAGCACATGCTACAAAACCCCGTGTTTTACAGTATTTTTTGCCTTGGAAGTGTTGGGAACAAGACTAAAACTCTTTTTTGAAGTAAATAGTTAGATTTATCTATTGTCAGTAATCACTGGAGATAATATATACATATTAAACATGTTGTATGTACAAGCTTCTAATTCAAGAGCTTCCCTCTAGATCTCTGGGGATCATCATTATTACAATAAAACTGAATATAAGTTTTCATTTCAAAAGCTTTCCCCTGGATCTCTGGAAATGGTCATGTCAATTTAAGCATGCTATATATCAATAAATAAGTCTTTCTTTCAAGAGCTTTCCTTTCATGAAAACACATATATACATATATATATATATATGTGGGATATCTACTTTGCCAGAGATCCTGAGGAAAGCTTTGAAAATGCAAGCTCTTGCCCGCAGAAATCTAGAAGAAAGCTTTTAACATACAAGGTTTCTATATAGTTGTTTAAATCTAAACATGATTATCTGCAGAGATCTATAGAGAATCTTTTATAACATAAAAGCGTCTATATACAATCTTTCCAAATCTAAATATAAGCAGAGATCTAGAGGACAATTGCTAAAACGACCACTTTTATGGCCTGCTTCTTTTCTAATTATCTTGTTCAAAACCATCTGAATGATTGATTGCTGCTTTCAAAACAATAAAATTACCCTGACTCAGGAATACATAAAGTCTTCTCCAGTTGCAACCAGCACTCTTCCAAAATGAGAGTGGGTCTTAGTCTCAGTCTTTGTTATCAGGGTGGAAGGTGGGGTGGTGGAGGTGGGCGCTCCGGCGTTGCCATTTCTCCCCCAGATGGCGATGCAATCACTCGCACTGCACAATTTATATGTGCATATTGATATCCAGCTTCAGTGGCACCATTCAATTCAATCCTGACATAAAATTGAATACTTGGAGGTATTAAATCCATCCTGGCACCATGGAGCTACAAACCCAAATAAGCTTCAGATCACTGGGCTCAGATCACTGGTCCAAGCCGTTCTGTGTGAGGTAGCGCTTCACCATTGGATGGTCACGGGGGCCCTCCTTCAGCATCCACCTTGGCAAACATTGTATTTAGGAGATGGTGCAAACAATGTAACTTTGATCCTCTCAACTTGGCGGCTAGTTGATCACCCCCCAACTACAGGGTCCTATACCACTACACTACACTACCACTACACTATCACTACCACTACAGGGTCCTATAAGGCCTATGTGCCCATCATCCTCTCTTATCCCTGGCCGGGCCGCTCCATCCTGGCCGCGTCGGCAATTGCCTTTGCCTTCCTTGGTGACTTGTTTGCAGCACGGGCAGCTTTATGCGCTCCGGAGTACACCTTGGATCAACATAAACTCAAAAATAAGAAGGACTGATGTAGCACCATCTATATAACACTATAGCAACCTCAACGTTCTCCTCAACTAAGTTCTGCCTAATGGCTGAATGAACCTTCTTTTCCACATCATCCTTCTCACGAGCTTTTCCATGAGGCTGGCTCTTGGGGGTCTTAGTCTTGGTAGGGCTGGTACGTTTGGTCTGAGTCTTGGTCTTCCGTGTTGATTGCTTTTGGGCTTTCAGAGGGGCAGCTTGTGAAGCTGCAGATTGGGCACATCTCTTTCGGCCCTTCTTGGGTTCCACAGCAGGTTTTGGTCTTGGGGATGGCTTGGCCCTAGCCGCCCTCAAGGGAGTGGGAACCTGCTCAAGATGATGAGCACCAATGTGTCCACCATCCACAAATTGTTCAGGGATGCCAAATAGGTCACCCTTGGCGGGTTCATCCAAGGGTTCATCCGCGGGTTCATCCGCGGGTTCATCCGCGGGTTCATCCACGGGTTCATCCACGGGTTCATCCGCGGGTTCATCCGCGGGTTTATCCGCGGGTTCATCCGCGGGTTCATCCGCGGGTTCATCAAAACTCTTAGGTGTAACCAAAAGGCCATCCCAAGGAATCCCATCGTCAAGAGGAGGCATGGTTTCTTCTGGACTGTTTGGTGGCTGTTCTTCCACTGCCATCGGGACCATGGCCGGTTCGGGGGGCTCTTCGGGGGTATTCTCCAGCTTGTGCATGGCAGCATCCAGGATGTCCAGTGTGGAGTGCACCTCCTGAAAAATAACAATGAACCCTCAAACTCACTATTTGGCTTTGACTTGCTTTGCAACAAGGTGAGCATGTGATGATGGTCATCATCCTGGTCCTGCATAGTTTCTGCGGCCATGGACATCAAGTTCCGAGGCTCAGCATCATAAATTGAAAAGTCATCACAAGCAAAGCTCCGAGCAATCTTCGGGGCATCCTGTCAACGAGCTCAATTGGCGGTAGATTTGTCTTCTGAAAGGCCAGTCCTTGTAATCGGATCCAAAGTCCGGGAGAGTGTCATAAAGGTTACTGTCCTGACACTGAAGGGATGCGAAAGGCTTCCAAAAAGTAACACCTAGAATGGAATCTGGAATCCTCACAGAGCATTGGTGCTTATGCACTGGTTGTTGTTTTGATTTAAGTCAGAGGGTTTGCCAACACAAAATGCCAGTGACCATGTCCAAGATGAACCACATTATCCTACCCAAAGTTGCCATACATCCCGTTCATATAGAAAGCTGCCTTTTTTGTGGAAACCCTATGGCCTGGTCGTCCTCCATCCCAAGCTGGTTGTCAGGTTCAGTCGGCTCCCGTGGATGCAAAATCCTGGGTCAAGGACAGTGGGTGGGCAGCAAGTTGAGGCACACTGTGGAGGATGGAGGGGCGTTTCAAAACGGAACAAATGGAAGAAACAGGTATATGAGCACCATCCATGTGAAGAAACTATGCCGAGACATTCAAGGGTTGAGACAAGGAGCTGGACCGAATCATTGAGGTCAAAGCAGTCAAAGTCCAAGCCCAACGTTTGCGACCTATGGCAAGCTGCAAGTAGGAACTCATGAGGCATAGGCGTTTCAAAGGCTTTTCAAAGGCTCATGTCATCTCATGTCCATGATCCCTCATGATTGCATGATTGTTGAGTCCAATGCTTTTCAAAGACACCTGTAGGAAGCATAGCGGTCACCACCCTCAATCAAGTACTCGAAAGGCTCAGGCGCCTCGACCTGCAACACTGGAGAAGGTTGAATCCATGTATCCTTGCTGCAACAGTAGTGCACCCGGCAGGTCAAAAAGCAAGGGCTAGCCTGCAAATCAGCTTTCTTGGAAGGACGCTTCATGGCACCACCTCTTCCCCTAGCAGGTCTCTTTTTGGCTTCTTGTGAACCTGTTGGGCCATCATCCTCACCAAACATGTCACCAAGCCCCTCAAGACCACCAAAGATGTCGTCATCATCATCATCATCTTCTTTACCTCTCAATGGGTTATTGGCATCATCTGGAACGTCATCATCATCTTCTTCTTCATCATTACGTTTCTTTTTCTTTGTCTTGTCTTTCTTGTCTTTTGTGCTTTTCTTGTCTTTCTTTTTGTTTTTCTTATCTGCCTGCTGCTGCTCACCTTTTGTCTTCTTGTCCTTTTGCTGGGAGGAGTCATCAGATGATGCGACCCGATCAGGCTTGATCTCCGCAGGGTCGTCAATGGCGGGGCCTGAGCGGCGGGGCCAATCAGGGACTTACACATCAGGACCAGCCACTACCAGACTGAATTATATGTTTGAGACTTCAGACCGATTTACTAATAATACTTCAGACCGAATATGTTTCTGTCCCAGCCACTGCCAGTGGAAGGCCGACTGCCACTGGCAGGGATTTTGGGTCGGGAAGTACCAGAGCTAGGTGGTGCCTGCCCTGTGTGCTGACGCATCAGAGCCTGAAGGTCAAAAGCCTGAGCAGAATGCAACAGGTGATGTTTCCAACCCCTGCAACAATGCATAAGGAACATAACCACCCATGTTCCAATGGAACATGGTTGGCTTCAATGTTTTGCTGGCTTTTGATTGCCAATGGCCAAGAGTTTAGAGCCATAGAGTTCAAGTAACATTTTACTGCCAAGGGACAGGCGCA